ATATTGATGTCTAAATCTATTTCGTATTAAAGCTTTAGTCCTTGATGCCATTAGTTTTCAATTAAAATAGTGTATTTTTTTTCCAACTTTCAATTTCAAAAAGCTCGTATTAATTGTTATTATTATTATATAATATAATTGATTAATATACATTTTCAATGTAAGCAAAATTTATGCATTATAGTAATCTCAAATCGAATCTGGACTTAGAAATCTTATAAAAACCCTAGCCCAAACACCATAAAGCCCACGAACCTGACGAGCTTACATATAGGAGCATGCATGGTTCAATTTTTATCGGTTTCGGTTAGATTTTTGGTAAAAAATCGATCAAAAATTTTAGCATTATAACTAACTGAACTGCATAGGATGTAATGTCGATTTCGATGGGTTTTTAAGAGTCTCGGTTCGATTGATTTCTATCTCTTGCTATTTTCACAAAATAACTAACAATAAAATAAAATCTCTCAAGTTTACCTTGCAGTGACAGTTGAAGAATGGAAGACTGATAAGCAAGGGTGGTAGATCAATGGCTGTTGGTTTCGACAGGTTAGAGAAAGGGGGAGTCAGGGAGAGGTAGAAAGTAGGAAAGGAAGAGGGGAAATTAGGTCGGGGGGGTGAAATTAGGTAGAAAGGGGTAAACGCTTTAGGGGGTTTAAGAAGGGTAATTTTGTCTTTCAACCAAAAACAACCCACTAGTTTTTTGATCGATTCGGGAAGGAAGGAGTCCCCCTTGACGATTGAGCTGATTGGCCGACGAGGCGGATCGGAATAACCGACGGTTGCAAAAACAACCATCGGTTACAATAATCGATGGTTGCGGTCGATTGCCCGATCGCAACCTACCGCCACACACACCTACTTACATACAAATCTATTTTAGAATCTTTTTTTAAAAACCAATTCACCCCATGTTAGTTACTTTTACTTTAAGCTTATTTATCTCACACGAGCATTTAAAAGATCATGCATGCACAATTATTTAAAGGTTATATTTGTGTTAAAGTTCTAATCCCTTGACTTGTCCTTTTCCCATATTCGCTTACAGAGTCTTTGTGATTCACATGTTAGTTTTCCATATTTTTGCTCTAGATCAAGGATAGCACACTTGCTCTAGCCACTCATGTCACAGAGACATGATCAATTTATCCTTTGGTAGGTGATATAGCAGCCACTTGTAGCCTAGAGGTTGAGTCATGTTCTACTAATGAGTCGATCTTTGTTTAAGGTTATGTTATGAATGTTGAACATGTTATGGAGTTGTAGCCTTTTATGGCATTGTGCATATTTTACTAATTTATGTTTTAATGGCCAATGACCTAATTGAACACCGAGGTGCAAACACATGTTTAGAGAGATGATTTCTAAACTATGTTTTGAAATGTTATGATGTATACATGTGAGTGTTCTCGCACATTATGAGGCAAAATTCCATAATGGTGTGATGACGCCTTCAAACAGTTTATGAGATATATGAAATGAATGTTTAATGTTTTACATGATTGTTTAGTTTATGTATAAATATAAGAGGCTTGCTTAGGTTTAGCAGGCTATACTCATCTAACTTCTTGCCTCAATCACAGACCCCCAAAAACAAGTCATGACAATAATCCAAATTAATAAAATAAGTTTTATGAAACGTGTAGTTGTTTTTTTTGAAAGGTACGAAACCTGTAGTTAAAAATGTTTATGAATTGAATTGGGTGCAATTGACATCTAAAAATATCAAACCTAAATTAGATATTTTTATGACGATATTTTAATATTTTAAATATATATTTAAACTAATTTGAAATAAAAATATAATATTTTATAAGGTAAAATACTTTTACCTTCTAAGTTTTGATCAAAATTACACAAAGGTCCATTAGTTTTTGAAATGGACACTACACCCCAAAAAGATATTTTTTGTTGGACACATAAGTATAGACGTTAGTCAACTATTAGTATCTTTGTCAACTTGTTGAGGTGGGAAGGGTAAAAAAGATAAATTTACCCTTGACTAATTTTTGTAAATGCTATTATATTTTTTATTATTTTTTATTGACTAAAAAAAAAAAAGCTCCCCATGTGGGAGCACTGATTAGTGCTCCTTTTTCTTGGTGAGCTAGGGAGCACCAATCGGTGCCCTTTTTTTTTTTTTTTGAAAAAATAATTTTTTAAATTAATAAAAAAAGAAGAAGGTATTTTAGTATTTTCACAACTTCTATTAACGGTATTTGTATTCTTAGGGTAAAGTGTCCATTGTGAAAGCTAATGGACTTTCGTATAATTTTAATCAAAACTTAAAGATTTAAGGATATTTTACCTTATTTTATATTATTATAATAAAAGTAAAGTACAAAAACTCCCCTTACTACACCTTTAAAGTACATTTGGGCCCACCTTGTTTCAAAATGCACTATTACCTCCTTTGATTACTTATTATCATTAGTCAGCAATTATTTACAAATATAAAAACAAGGGTACAATACTCCCATTCCATAACTTTTTTGTGTAAGTCCACGCGAGTTTATTAGCATTAGAAGTGAATAATCTGTCCCAAAAACATAAATATAATTAACAAAAAACATAAAATGATTAAAATATCATTTTTTCTTTATTAATTTTAAAAATTGTTATTATATAATTTTTTTTACAAAAAATTAAAAAAAATTTCAAGGAGCACCATTGATGCTCCCCAGCTCCCAAAAGAGGGAAGCACCAACTAATTTTCCCAAGAGAGGGAGGGAGCACTAGATCTCAGTGCTTCCTTTCCTTAGAAGCATCGATCTAGTACTCTTTTCTCTTTAGGGAGCATCAATCACCTGATTTTTTATTTTTGTAAACAAGAAATTATATAATGGTCATTTTAAAAATTAATAAAGGGTAAAATTATCTTTTCAATATTGCAACATCATCAAACTAACAGAAACACTAATGGTTGAACTTATGTGTCCAACGAGAGATATTAGTTTGGAATAGAGAACCTGTTTGACTTAGCTTTTTTCTAACTTAAAAGCTATTGTGAAGCTCCTATGAAAAATAATAAGTTTTAGAATTAAACTGAAGTTGTTTGGTAAATATTTTTTTATAAGTTATAATTTGGGTTAAATTTATCATAAAAGGGTATTTCTTTTTTTAATAGAGTTATATTGTAATTATTTTTAATAGATGAGGATATTTTTAAAATAAAAATAATTTTTTTTATATTTTTAAAAAGAGAGAAAAAAAAGCTCCTCATAGGAGCTTTTCCTAAGGCTCTTTTTAAAAAAATTTTATTCTTTAAAAAAAACTATTTTTTTAAAAGTTTTTCAAAATTTATGTTTGATCTGGTTTTTAAAAGAAAGATAAGCTAAAAAAAAGTTAGGCTAAACAAACACAGAATATTTATTTAAAAAATTAATGGATCTGTTTGGAATTTCAATTAAAATTTAAAAGTAGGGTATTTTACCTTAAAAAAATCATAATCATCGTCAAATAATTGAAAAATAAAAATAAAAATATCATAATTGAATTTAATTAAATAATAATAAAAATATTTTTTATTCAATAGTTATCAATTTAGAAAATAAAAAAAAGTTGTTCCTTGAAAAGAAAGTTGTTCTACTTTTGTTTCTTGACATATTGATGTCTAAATCTATTTCCTATTAAAGCTTTAGTCCTAGATACCATTAATTTTCAATTGAAACAGTGTATTTGTGTTTTTCAATTTTCAATTTCAAAATGTACGTATTAATTATTATTATTATTATATAATATAATATAATTAATTAATATACCTTTCCAATGCAAAGAAAATTTACGCAGTATAGTAATCTCAAATCGAATCTGGACGCAGAAATCGAATCAAATACCCAGCCCGAACCGCACTAAGCCCACGGGCCTGACGAGCTGCTCGAGGGTCTACCAGCGACGTGGCACGGGCATTCTTCCTACTAATGAAAAAGGCGTAATATTGGTACGCATGATTGGCGTTCGCTTTGGAAAGGTAGATTACCGAAGAGATAACCTCTCTTCGAGTTAGGGTTTGTTTCTTTATTTATTCGTCTTCCATTCGATTCATTGGATAACCGTTCTATCAAGATTTTTGGTGGTGCGTTTCTCAATTGTTCTCCCTTGTTTTTGGCACTCTAGGATTTCTGTTTCCGTTTATGCATCTTTCTGTTGAATCTATCTAACTGCTTCGCTTAGCTTCGTCTTTAATTTGATTAATTAATTGATCGATTCTGCCCGAGGATGCCTTTTTTTGTTAAGTAAAGGATTCGCTTGTTCGTATCATACTTTTTAGGGTTTTGATTCAAGCCTTCCTTTTTTTTCTTTCTTTCTTCTGTTGTTTTAATTTAATAGTAAATATTGGATTGGGTGCGGTTATTGTATGTGGAATAATTTCGGGGGTTCCTTTTTATGACAACCGGAAATACTAAAAGATTGTTAATTTAATTGTTTTTAATAAGTTAAAATGGGCTTTTCTGGTTCTAAATCTGACTTTTTTCTTTCAAAAATGAGATGATGTTATTTTGAGTGGAATAAGGTTATGACACTTTGTTTGGGGTACTGTTGGCAGTGAGCATATCGATATGGAGATACAGACATGTGGCAAACCGATTAATTCATTGTTAGAAAAGGTGCTGTGTATGAATATACTGTCTTCTGATTATTTCAAAGAGCTTTACCGGTTAAAGACATACCATGAAGTCATTGATGAAATTTACAATCAAGTTGATCATGTTGAGCCGTGGATGACCGGGAACTGTCGTGGTCCTTCGACTGCATTTTGCCTTCTTTACAAGTTTTTTACCATGAAGCTTACTGTCAAACAAATGCATGGGCTCTTGAAGCATCCCGATTCTCCTTACATTAGAGCCGTAAGGGGAACTCTCCTTTTATATCTTTCTTCAACCTTGGTAAAATTGTTCTCAGCAGAAACGATAGATATCTTATCAATCTATCTTCAGCAAGCTGGATACTATTTTTTCTCCATTATTCTATGTTTCTTCAGATGTTTTGATCTTTGATGTAATGCGGGTGAAATTTCCAAGTTTTTTAATAGAAATTCACAATTGTGATAATTATAATTCGTTAGTATCGTTGTGAAAGTTCTTGTTTGTTAGAGTGGGGTACCTGGCCATGATTGCCTTATTTTCGTTGTTTCGGTATAAAAGTATGAAAGTAAATATATGAGCGTTATAATTGTATTCTTTTACCTAGCAGATTTCTTCAAATAAAGGTTGAGGTGTCCTTGTTTCTTTGAGTTGCTGAGAGTTTGCTGACCCACATCATAGTACCTTGCTATGTTTAGCAGATGCCTACAATATCAAGGTTTGATGAGTCTCTTTTTCTGTTAATGGTAGATCAACATTTTATGTTGAGTGAGTTTGCACTGTTCTTCCATTTTGGTTAGCATGTTTGATCTACTATAGCTATGGATTTAGAGTTTATATGAACGTAGGAACAAGATTCTATCCCCATATTGCTAAGGCCAAGGTTGGAGATTGTGTAGGTTTGCAAACTCTCGTGTTTACTAGCTCCTAATTTTGTCTCTTAGAAACTATATACCAAGACTTAGGTTTTATTTATTCATTTCTTTTCTGATGCTTTTTTTACTCTTCACTCGAATATATTGTCCTTGCTTTATCTTGCTTAGTTTTGATGCTTCCTTTTATTGATTTCTCACTCAAGGTTCTGTGAAATAATGGATCAGCATTTCTTGTTGCAACTATACTAATTTACTCATATTGTGTGGACTATTCCTGCAGGTTAAGAATGCCTTGCTTTCTGGTTTCATGAAATTAAGCATAAAAATTTGTACTCATTCTTCATTTTTGCTGGTTTTTTGTACAATTTATATTCCATTGTATGGTTGATATTCTGCTTTGAGCCATTATGCATATAATTGATGGCTTAAAATTTTGGTTGCAGATTGGATTTCTCTACTTGAGATATGCCGCAGATCCGAAGACTTTATGGACTTGGTTTGAACCTTACATCAAAGATGAAGAGGTAACTAGAAATTTTGGCTGCTTAAGTGTTTTGTGGCATCTTAAATATAGTAATATGGTAAATCTTTCTAAGTACCATATGGTCTACATTAGTTTGGTATGTAAGATGGTGGGTCAATTTTTTGTGGATGTTTGTACATTTCCTTTAGGTTAGGAAACTATTTTTTGCCTCAAAAGATGCTGAGTCTGGCCATATAATGATGTTTACTTCTGCCTCATAATTTACCTACTTTCACTGGTTTCTTTAAAGAAAGAATTACAAAAGCGTTTTCTTCCCATAAAGCTCCATAGTTTTTTCTTTGTTTGTACTGAGATCTTCTTGTGTTACATTTTGTTTAGTGGGGTTTACTTTTGGGTCATACATTAGTCATCTGCTATTTATCTTTGGCTCTATTACATAGATTTTGCACTTTAGGGGGAAGGGAAAAGTTCTCTATGTCTGGTAGATTAGGGCTCTTCTCTACTTTTTTCTTCAATGCTTGTACTCTTCCACACTGACAAGTTTGTTGGCCTCATATAAGCCCCTTCACAAAATTGGAGTCTTGCTCATCAAATCTTGCCCAGACCTGGCTTGGACGGGATCTGATATCCATAATGCTGATGTGGATTTTTTTAGTATAGAATGGACAAATTTTATTCAATTGTTTTTGGAATTTGTTTTTGTGAGAAATGATTTTAGGGTTGCTTTGCTAGTTTAAAAAATATAAAACATATATTTTTGGTTCATCTAGTGTTTTTGTTGTTTAAAAATATTTTTTTGGCTGCTAGCAATGCAAAGATATCATGGTTTAACGTCCTGTTTTCTCTTTCGAACTCAATTTCACTCATTTTCAAATTCAGTGGTTATAAAAATACAAGGTAATAAGTGTTTTAACCACATTTTCATGCAATTAAAAGATGAAGGTGTATTCCTTTTATTGTGAAGTTCAAAGGCTTATTCCGGTTATGTATAAAATTTATTAGGAATGATGTTCCATTTTTGTTCTACCTTGCTTTTTTTTCTTGATTTTAACGTGTAGAACTTAGTTTCTGTTTTGAGCATAAGGTGAAATAATGGTTTCCTATTGCAGGAATTCCCCCCTGGATCCAATGGACGAATGACTACAATGGGTGTATACGTGCGTGATTTGCTTCTTGGACAGGTCAGTGGGAGTGAACATTCGACATGCTTTATGTTACAAAAAATAATCTCGCTGTTCACATGTCAATTTGCACCTCTTGTGTAGTAATAAATTGTTGACCATTTAATAACATTTTGATCAACTTGAGAAATTGAAAGTATAACATCAATAAAAGTAAGTGTTGATTCTGGGGTGGCTCATTAAAATCTGCATTTTGCTTTATGATAGTTATGTGGCGTATAAGGACAGGTGATACACTTGATGTTTGTGATCTAGGAATAAATCATTCTGAGATTGCATTTAATATTTTCTATTTGCAGCTATAAAAAAAATGGTTTTCTTCTCTCATGATTCTAGATTTTTGAAATATACCTACCTAAGATGATACACATATGAGCAATTCCTTATCTGATGAGAATGAGTACGTTAATGTTTGTCTAAAAAGCTTCTGTGGATGGCTAAGATGGGATTTCGTTTGTGAAATGAATAGAGTTGGTTAACTAATTATTAAAGCTACATAACATAGTACAGAAGTTGCATTTTGTGTTAAGCCTGTAATGATTTATGCCAAAACCACTTGAAGTCTATTTCAAGGTTGTGGAAGAAATTTGGGCTGAGATTTGAAGAAACTACATTTGAGAAGCAATAGTTCAGAACATAATTAGCCTAAATAGTTCGTGCTTGATCTTATAATGAAGTACTTAAATACAAGATGACCTTTAAGCAATTTTGCATACTGAATTTGCAAAGAATTTCTGGACAATCAGATTTTTGCTCTATCTGCAATTGTAGTTTCAGTAGTATGTTCAAAGAAGGTACTCTTTCTTGGTCCCTCCTTCAATGTATCCTTCTTTCTGAAGTTTTTTCTTTTACTTTTTATTTTCAATGCATTTCATTGGTTTGCAGCCGTAATGCAGGCCGAATGCATGCTCTTCTTTGACTCATCTTGGATTGGAACTTGAAGCACAGCCTAGAAGTTCCTACTGTATAGGGTCTGATACTTAACAGAAAGTCATCATTTAGATCGTTACTATTTAAATTTACTATTGTAAGCTCCCAGAATTTTTAGAATTTCGTTTCTTCAGTTGAGTTGAATGCCAGGTTATTGGTGAGACTTCCTTTAGGTCATTTGGCTTGCATTTTTTGTCAAGGATGAATAACATTTGCTGATTTGTCTACTGACCTCACTTTTGACCCAGTCGTGTTTCTCCTTTTTGTTTGTTTTCATTGAGGGAAAAGAGTTGACACTGATTTTCTCGTTGCAGTACTACTTTGACACCCTTTTCCCCCGAATCCCTGTACCTGTGTTGCGGCAAGTTGTATCCAATCTTGAGAAGATGAAGCTGCCTACTAAAGTTTCTGGTGCAACTGGGGATTCTAACCGTCATGGATCTGATGACACTGCTCGCCGGCCGCCATCAGTGAAAGCTGCACTTTCTGTCTCTTTCGGTCAGCGTGCCCCCCATCGTGCTTCAACCAGGGACTCATCTCCTGTGCGTCGCACCCTCCCACCACCACCTTATGACAGATCTGGCAGTGATGATTTAAAAAGATCTCCCAGCCACCGTCGCAGCCAGAGCCGTGAATATTCTGATAGGGAATATTCTGAGGACAGGGATTGGGATCGAGATAGGGAAAGAGAAAGGGAAAGGGAGAGGGATCGTGATCGGGATAGGGAGAGGGATCGGGATCGTGATCGGGATAGGAATAGAGATCGGGATCGGGATAGGGATAGGAACAGGGATCGGGATAGGGATAAGGATAGGAACAGGGATTGGGATTGGGATAGAGAAAGAGCCAAGGACAAGGAGAGGGATAGGGAGCGAAGGCATGATTACGATCGAAGGTCAAGGTACTCAGATAAAAGGGACTATGAAGAGTTACGTGATGAAAACAGGCATTATAGAGTAGCTAGCTCTCATAGGAGCAGAAGCCGAACTCGCAGCAGGAGTCGAAGCAGGAGCAGAAGTAGAAGTTTGCAAGCCGGAAATAGTCATTTTGATCGTCATTCAAGTCCACTGAAAGAGGGTAGCAAGGAGAAGACATCTGCATCCAGCAATTTGGCGAAGCTTAAGGATCTGTACGGTGATTTAAGTGATCAAAAAGGGGATGGCTTTGAAAGGGTACCTAGGAGGGACAACAGTGGCGAAGAGGTGATAAGGCTAGGTGGTTCTACTTGGAAATAGTGCATCTAGGTATTCATGCTGCACCTGCAAATCAGACTGAGGAAACAAAAAACTTTATTATGAACTTTTACTGTCTGTAGTAAAGCTAGCTGGATTGAAGGATGCACTTGTCGGCATTATTTGGCAGCTGACATGTATACTAATCTTTTCATTATCTTTTTCGGTTTCTCTATTTAAAGCATGATAACATTTTAAGTTATAAAAAAAATTGTTTAGCTATTAGTAAGTAAAATGATGCGTTTAAAACCGTGCAGGTCATGGCAAAATTTAAAGGGTAAAATTCGCAGTTTGTTTGAAACTTTTAAAAAAATATTTTGGTTTTTTTTATTTCAGTTTTTGATAGTTTGATTATTAATAGTTGGTCGATAGATTTAATATTATGTAAATATTTTAAGATTATAAATCTTTTTGTATTATTTTTTAAGAAAAAATATTTTTATTTTTTATAATTTTAATTATATTTTTATACGAGTTTATTAGTATTTGAAATGATTAAAATATATGTATATTTTTCTCCTTTTCACTATTTTTCTCTTAAGTTGAGTAGCGTTCTTTTTTGTTGATTAGTCACCTATCGACTGGATCTCTTTAAGGGAGTGTGATTCGGGTGGGTTCCCTTGGGGAGCGCGAGAGGAGCATTGACCTCAAGGAAGCATGATTCAGGGCTGCACTCTTTTTCGACCAGTGCTCCTTTAAGGGAGTGTGATCTTGACCTCCTTTGGGCAAAGGGGAACATGGCTAGCTTGCGTTTCCAAGGAGATTTGATTGGATTTGATATTCTACGATTAGATTTAATCACGATGAGGTTGGTTGACAAGAGGTAGGGTAGAGAGAATTTTGTTTATTGAATAGGAAAGAAATTTTAAAAATGAAAAATTATTACTTGTAAAGTATGGTAATTTTTAAAACTAATGAAACTAAAATAGTTTGAGAAATATTGTCATATCATCAAATTAGCAAAAATATTAATGGTTGATTAACAGTTAGTTTTATTTGTCTAGCAAAAGATATTCTTTTGCGGTAGATTGTCCATTTCAAATATTAATAGACCTGAGTTGAATTATGAAAAAAATTTAAAAAGATTAGATTATTTTACCTTATTTTTTAATTTAGACAAATTTTTCTTTTTAAAAAAATCTCATTATGGTTCCCTGCAAAACTTTAATTAGAATAAAAAACCCAAAAAATTTTGATTTGAAGGTTTGGAAATGTGAAGCTGTATTTGCCTCGAAAACCATAAAATTCTTTGCTGAGGTAAACAGTCTATTTTCATCAAATTTTTTAGTTCTCCAATAGTTTGAGGATATATTTTTCATTGAAAAGAATGCATTAAAAAGTAAACTTGATGGTGTTGGGTCAAGAGGAAGTTCACAAGGATCCCATTAGGGAAGAGATACTGAGAGATATGGAGTCAGCAGAGATCAAAGAGTGATTTCACCTCAAGGTCAGCGGGGTGTTAGGTAGAGTCATCCTCTTTTCTCTTCATGTTCCACTTGCGATTAGAAGCATCAAGGACAGTGCATGCCAGGTTCCACCTCATGTTACACTTGTGGACAGTCGGGACATTTCACTAGAGAGTGTCGTACTAGTCATTCCTCTCAGGGAAATACACAAGGGCATATATGGGCAGCTTTACCACCCCCATCTATTGCTGTACAACCTATCAGTGGCATGAGAGGAGGTAGAGGAAAAGGCACTAATACAGATACTTAGGGTAGAACTTCAAGATCTAGAGTTGGAGCACATGGTACTGCTAGTCGTGGACAGGCCAAAGTTTAACCTTTGACTCAATAGGATGTGCGGGCATCCAATTTAGTAGTTATAGGTATATTACTCGTTTTCTCTATTGATGCATATGTATTGTATGACCTTGGTGCTATACCTTTTTTTGTATCATCATACTTTGCAGCTAGATTGGGTATTGTGCACTCCAAAAAAAGAGCAAGACTTGGAAGTTTCCATAACCTTGAGAGAAGTGTTTGTTGCTAAACATGAGTATAGAGATTAAGTGGTTCGAGTTAATGGGAAGAACACTTAGGCAAATCGAGTGCTGATGGACATGATGGAGTTTGATGTGATTCTTGGGATGGAGTGGTTATCTCCCCACTATGCTAGTGTGGATTGTCACTACAAGAGGGTTAGATTCGACTATCTTGGAGAAGCATCCTTTTATATACAGGGACATCGCAGCATAGTCTCAAGTAGCATGATATTGGCTATGACAATAGCCACTTGATGAGACAAGGATGTCGAGGATTCTTGGTCGTGGTGATAGATACCTAAGTAGAGCTAGTTAATGTGCTAGATGTGCCTATTGTGAGGGAGTTCATAGATGTATTCTCGGAAGAATTACTCAGATTACCGCTAGAGTATGAGACGGAATTTTACATAAACTTGGCACTAGACACGAGTCTGATTTCTATACCACCATACCTGATGACACCGATCGAGTTGAAAGAGCTCAAGGATTAGTTGGAAGACTTATTGGACAAGGGCTTCATTCACCTTAATGTCTTCCCTTGGGGTGCACCAGTATTGTTTGTAAAGAAGAAAGATGGATCAGTAAGGCTTTGTATCGATTACAAGTTGTTGAATAAAGTGACTATCAAGAACAAGTATCCTCTCCCACGTATTGATGATTTGTTTGATTAACTGTAAGGGGCTAAGTGTTTCTCTAAGATTAATCTATGATTGGGGTATCATTGAGGATTAGAGGTGTAGACATACCTAAGATTGCATTTCGCACGAGGTATGGTCATTATGAGTTTTTTGTATGTTAGTTGGATTGACTAATGCCCCTGCAACTTTTATAAATATGATAAACAGGGTATTTAGACCATATTTGGATAAGTTTGTGGTTGTGTTCATTGATAATATCTTAGTGTATTCAAAAAGTGGGGATGAACGTGAGCAGCATTTGAGGATTATGCTACAGACATTGAGAAAGCATCGATTATATGCCAAGTTCTTCAAGTGTGAGTTTTGGCTTAATAGTGTTACCTTTTTGGGTCACATAGTATCTAAAGATGGAGAAATGGTGGACCCAACAAAGATTAGGGCAATAGAGAAATTGCCAAGGCCTACTTCAATAACTGAGATACGGAGTTTTCTAGGGCTGGTTAGATATTGTAAGAGATTCTTTAAGATTTTCTCCAATATTGTTGCTCTTATGATTATGTTGACTTAGAAGGATGTCAAATTTTTATGGATAGATGCATGTGAGGAAAGCTTTGAGAAGCTCAAGACTTTACTTACCACATCTCCAATGTACCATGTGGTTCAGGGGGTTATGTAGTCAATTGTGACGCATCATGAGTAAGACTTGAATGTGTGTTGATGTTTGGTGATTGCATATACATCTAGACAGCTCAAGAGACATGAGTAGAATTAACCAACACATGATTTGGAGATGGTTGCCAAAGTATTTGCCTTAAAAATTTGGAGGCATTATTTGTATGGCGAGATTTGTGAAATTTATATAAATCATATGAGTCTCAAGTATATTTTTTAGCAAAAGGATCTCAACCTTAGGCAACATTGATGGATGGTTGCTTAAGGATTATGACCGCTTAAAATTGTATCAACTCGGTAGAGCCAATGTGGTGCTAAATGCCTTGAGCCGAAAATCTATGGGAAGTTTACCCCACATCTTAGTCAAGAGGAGATCATTGGTGTAATGTATGCATGAGTTGGAGGATATGGGCATTTATTTTGAGGTTACTAATACTAAGGTGTTATTAGCCCATTTTAGAGTTAGACCGATATTGATGGATTGGATTAAGGATGGTCAAGATAAGGATGATTTTACAGCTAGAGTTTAGAAGATCCTCAAGGGAGAAAAAGGCAGATGATTACTAGAGGCACCGATGGATTACTAAGATATGGCTTTAGAGTGTATGTGCCAGATATTGATGATTTGAGACAAAAGATCCTAAAGAAGGCACACGTGGCTGCATATGTTGTTCATCTAGACCCCATCAAGATGTACCATGACTTAAGGGAGATGTAATGGTGGAAAGGCTTTGCGAATGATATGGCTGAGTTTATAGCTAAGTGTCTAGAGTGCAAATAGGTTCAGGTAGAGCATCAAAGACTTGTTGGATTGTTACAACCTTTACCTATTCTTGAGTGGAAGTGGGAGCATATTTCTATGGACTTTATGACTGAACTACCAAAGTAAGTGGTATGATTCTATTTGTGTGATAGTGGATAGACTGACTAAGTTCACTCATTTCCTACAGATGAAAATCACCTATTGAGTAGCACGGTATGCTAGTCTGTATATTGATGAGGTAGTGCAATTGCATGGAGTTCTAGTCACTATAGTATAGGATAGAGGCACACAATTCACTAGTCGATTTTGGGGAAAAGTAAAATAGGCTTTGGGGACAAAATTGAATTTTAGCACTGCTTTTCATCCATAAACGGATGGACTATCTGAGAAGATCATTTAAACACTAGAGGATACGTTGAGGGCATGTGTCATAGATTTTGGAGTCACTTTGGACTGACACTTGCCATTAATTGAATTCGCCTATAATGATAGTTTTGAAGCTAGCATTGAGATGGTGCCTTATGAAGCTTTGTACGAAAGGAGATGTAAGTCGCCCATATGTTGGTTTAAGGTCTGTGAGAGAATGTTACTTGGACTAGAATTAGTTTAAGAAACTACTAACAAGATCTAGTTGATTAAGGAGAGGATGTTGGCAGCACAAAGTTGACAAAAGTCATACGCTAACTATAAACGTTGAGAGTTGGAGTTTGAGGTTAAAAACCATGTGTTCTTGCACTTGAGCGTTTGGCTCTTTGGTTGATACATAATCCCCCTACTTAAAAGAGTAGGGCTCGAATCCCCCCTACCCCAATTTGAAAAAAAAAAGTGTTCTTGCAAGTCTCTCAAACCAAAGGCATTATGAGGTTTGGTAAGAAGGGCAAGTTGAGCTTGAGGTTTATTGGCCCATTTGAGATATTGGAAAGGGTTGCATAGTAGCATATTGGTTAGCACTTTCGTTAGATCTTGCTTGTGTTCAACCAGTGTTTCATGTTTCAACACAACGAAAGTACCAACTGGATCCTTCTCACATGATTCAGCATGAGTTTTTACAATTAGAGAATGATTTAAGTTATGAGGAGGTGCCGATAGCCATTTTGGATAGACAAGTCAATCATGCCCACTTGGTGAAACCTAAGCTCATCTTTTGAGCTAAT